TCTCCTTTTGTTTCACATCATGGGGATCGGAAACAGACTATAACAATACAGATGAAGTGCTACTGCACCTCATGGACTCAGCACAGGGATGCCCGTTTTTTGGCACCTCTGTCTCACCTGTAATGGGTATCTGGAGGTCATAAATATGGCAGATGGTCTACACCAGGGCTTACCAGCGTGGTGCCTGTGAGTGCCATGGTGCTTGTCAGGTTGGACCTTTTGCCCAGCAAAGCTCCCGATTGGTCATTGGAGATTTGGTCATTGGAGATTTGGTTGACTTTGCAGATTTTTAAACATATTGCTTTGGCAGTAGCTGCCACCACAGCACACGGATTTTCACTGTGTGACTGAAGGTACACTGCAGCAGCCGTTTTGTGATGGCTCCACCTCCTGTGGCAGCTATTTTCTGGTAGCTATTTTCTGGCTACACCCATCACACTGTGCCAGAATTCCAAAGGTGTCTGAAGACCTTTTGGGGTCTACAAGTTTGGGGATCCCTGGTCTACAACAAACAAGTGGTGCAATGACAGGATAGTGCCTGATCTTACCCCACCCGCAATTGCCTCAAAGCAAGTAGCAGCAACATCTAACAGTATATACATGTCCACAGTGTAGTCCCATTATATACTTGAGTGTGCAGTGTTTAATGTATAAAATATAGTGTGCCCATGGATAGGCGTCAAATGCTATTCTGTTGATGACAGACTATCTAAGCCAGTAGTGTTTTAATTCAGAAAAATCCATGTTTTTTTCCATTGTTTTGTTTATGAGTACAGCCTAGTCTTTTGCAGGAGCACTTCAGTGTACAAATCTAGCCTCAGTCTGTAATTGCAGCTATGGGGTGCTCCATGGATAGTGTGAAGTGGCTACTTTAACTTAGCATTCTTGAAGAGGTTTTTCACTTGATACTTGCCATCCCATCTGAATTGCTTATGGGAGATCAGCATCTGAGTAATAATCACCCTTTTGTTAAGGTAATAGGAACCGGCATTTTCTATGACCAGCACAAATTTCTAATTTGGGTTCTGTCATTTTGAGTTCATTTGCTCTTTTGTTGCAGATCTCAACATAACTACTTGAGAATCACCCGTATTCTCAAAAGTCTTGGTGAACTTGGATATGAGAGTTTCAAACCTCCCCTTGTAAAATTTATTCTCCATGAAGCTCTTGTGGAAGATACCATCCCCAACATTAAGCAAAGTGCTTTGGAATATTTTGTATATACCATCAGAGACCGAAGAGAAAGAAGGAAACTTCTACGATTTGCCCAGCAACACTATACACCCTCCGATCATTTCATTTGGGGTCCACCAAGGAAACAGAAGTGTGAAGGAAGCAAACCGAGTAAGAAGCTGGCATCTCCAGTTTCTCATCGTAACAGCTGTACTTCTAAACATAAGAAAAGAGACTCCAAGAATGCATCTACAGTTTCTAACTCGAGTGGGAAACCAACTGATGAGAAAAGGGCAGGACCTATTAAAACCGAGGAGGATCACATTAGGAAACGCAGCAGCTCTGAGACTGCTAAGCAGAGCAGTGGTGAAAAGAATAGTGACCTTGAATGTCAGAACTGCAAACTGGAAGGAACAGCCAGTCCTTCAGACCAAAAGGAAAATATTTCCAATTTCAAAAAACATAAAGGTAGAAATGATGAAAATCTGAACCAAGACTGTAGAAATCCTGAAGTTGTAGAAAAAGATTCTTGCGATACTCATTGTGGTCCAACTGATACGTCAACTGATCTGCAAGACAGTGTAAGTAAGGATAAAGATCCAGTGGGATCAAACTCAAAAAGCAAAGAGGAG